TGCTGATCCCTTGCCTGTACAGCTGTCAGTAGAGAGAGAGATCGTGAGAACGAGGCGGGGGTCGAGGAGGGGTCGAGGAGGGGTCGAGGAGGGGGTCGAGACGAGGCCGAGGCGGGGGTCGAGGCGGTTGATCAGCGCCTGGGTCATGTCGTTGCGCATGCTGATCGCTTGCCTGTACAGCTGTCAGTAGAGAGAGAGATCGTGAGAACGAGGCGGGGGTCGAGGAGGGGTCGAGGAGGGGTCGAGGCGGGGGTCGAGACGGGGTCGAGGCGGGGGTCGAGGCGGTTGATCAGCGCCTGGGTCATGTCGTTGCGCATGCTGATCGCTTGCCTGTACAGCTGTCAGTAGAGAGAGAGAGAGAGATCGTGAGAACGAGGCGGGGTCGAGGGGGGGTCGAGACGGGGTCGAGGCCGGGATCGAAGCAGGGGTTGAGGCAGGGGTTGAGACGAGACCGAGGCAGGGGTCGAGGAGGGGATCGAGACGGGGTTGAGGCAGGGGTCGAGGAAGGGTCAAGACGAGGTCAAGGCGGGGGTCGAGGCGGGGGTCGAGACGGGGCCAAGAAGGTGTCGAGGCAGGCCCGAGAAGCCACGAGGCGTGTGAGTATTCAGCCTCGGCAGCGGCTCGCGATTCTCTTTCGGAGGGAGGAGGGAACCATCGCGCGTGGAACGTTTGAACAAACTTTCCGCGTACCCTTCCCTCGTTCCGCGAACGTCAGGCGAGAGCGGCAGAACCACGCACGCAGAATGGCGATAAAAGAACGAACGATTATTCATTCACAGAGGGCGCCCTGCGTCTGCGACAAACGTCCGACGCTTCGACGGTGACCGCCGCTGCGTGGTTGATGCATCATCGCCCGAGCCGCTCTCGACGACCTAACGCGACTTTATTGTTGCGCTTTATACTCTCGCAGCCGCCGAAAACTCGATGGAGACGTCGTTCGCTGGAATTATCAACAATTTCGCTCGCGGGCAATTTCTCGCTAATGCGGCGGGGCGGCGCTTTTCAATATTTCGAAACCGAGTTGCGGCGGACGGTCGGAGATTGGCAATACTGGTCCCGATGCATAGTTGGCGAACAGCCGTTATTACGATTACAGCGCCCGGGTTAAAACGTTACGAATTCGATTTTAGCTATTTGCTAATCGTCGCCGTTTGATATTTGCTATTGCTCGATCGTATTTGCTAGAAAGCAACTTACTGCGTCGGCCTCCTCCAGACGCGATTCGTTTTTGGAGATCAGATTGGCGAGGTTCACGTAGACGCTAAGGTAGCCCGGCGCGATGCGGGTCTGGTAGGTCTGACCCGGCCTAACCTGAAATGCGACACTACGGGTGAACGCGCGCGCGTAGTTCTAGAACGCGCAGAGTTCTGGAACGCGATCGAACGTCTCAACTGTTCGCCGACGCATTCAAAAGACGGAAGATGATGAAACGTAACAAATTATTCAGTGTTTACGGCGCGCTGCGCGGCCAAAAAAAGAGCAAAGCCGTAAGCCGTAAACTAAGCCTCGTAAACTAGCCTCGAAAACTAATTATCGAGCCGAACTATAGAAAAGTGCACGCGACTGCATTCTAGCTAGAGTAAGTAAAGAGCCGCAATGCACCGGCTTTAACGAATACATTTCGCCCGCGCTCCGCTAGTACGCTGACACATGAACACATTAATTCTATGTGATTTAATCTTCTGCTAGCCGATGCCTGAAACATTTGTTTTTGCGCGCGAGTGGCGTGCACTGATGCGCGCATAATCACGCCGTTATCGCAAACTGTAGAACGCGTACCTGTGGCATGAGCACCATGGCCCTTTTGTAAGCCGTCTCCGCTTCCCTGTACATTCTCATCGATGCGTACGCTCTACCGATGTTGATAAACGCTCCGATGTCATCCGGCTGTATCCTGAAGACGGAAAGACGACATTGATACGCGGATAAAAACGCGAGGCCTCGTCTAGACTTTGAAGACATTACGAGAGACAATCACTCGCATGAAATGTATTAACGACAATCACGCATAGCATCTGTGCCAATTAGGGCCAGTTAATAATAACCAATAACAATATGAATCGGCTTAGCAAAATTTATTCGCGAAATAGATTGCAATGCTAATTTCCGCACCGTGGGGCATAACACTAATATAATCAGCAGGTGCAGAGATGCGTGGCAAACTGAATTAATCAGGATCAGGAAAGACTTTGTTATTGCATTGGATTTTTGGGAACATTACTAGACAGCGATTGAATATGGAAATACTACATTGGATTTTTGCTCACGCACTGAGGGTAAGTGCTTATGGAAATGCTTTGCCACTGCATTCGATTTTGGGTATTGTACCAGAGGGCATGTGAATATGGAAAGACTTTGCGACCGCATTGGATTTTAGATTTGGGCTATAGAGCACCAGCGGGTACGAGAATCGAGCAATAAAAATGGATAACCGTGGCACCATCCACGCGTCAGCGCTCGATTTTGCTAGACAAGCGGCGATTTCAACACGCGAAATTACGCGCCATTTCGAAAACTGCCGGCAGACGACGTTTTGCGGCGATCTCCGCTTTAATGCCGTCACTAAAGAGGCACTCGCCGCGACTTTTACTCCTCATTTCCGCATCGGCCTCGCACGCATCCGACGTTCCGGCATCCGCGATCGAACGACGAATAGCGTGCGGCAGCCCGACGAACCCGCTCGGCCGAAAAACATCCGAACGTTCCGTCGCCCCGATTCCCGAACGCCGACGCAACCGCCCGCCCGCGGGGGACCTGTACCTCGCGGCTCTTCGAAAGTATCCGAGCGCCTCCATGTGTCTCTCCTGCGTCTCCAGGGCGTGGCCGACGTTGTTGAAGAGCTTCGCGTTGCTCTGCGTCACCTTCAGTCCGGACATAAACAGCGTGTACTCGTCCTGCCTGCAGCGAGAAGCATGTTGGGTGCAGGGGAACACAGAAAGAAGAGGCTGCACGCAGGCAGGAAGGGGGAAGATAGTGTCTAGAAACACAAATAACAGGACGCACGCGAGCAGGCAAGGGAAGTTAGTGTCTAGAAACACAAATAACAGGATGCACGCGGGCAGGAAAGGGAAGTTAGTATCTAGAAACACAAATAACAGGATGCATGCGGGCAGGAAAGGGAAGATAGTGTCTAGAAACACAAAGAACAGGCTGCGCGTGGGCAGGAAAGGGAAGTTAGTGTCTAGAAACACAAATAACAGGATGCACGCGGGCAGGAAAGGGAAGATAGTGTTTAGAAACACAAAGAACAGGATGCGCGTGGGCAGGAAAGGGAAGTTAGTGTCTAGAAACACAAAGAACAGGATGCACGCGGGCAGGAAAGGGAAGATAGTGTCTAGAAACACAAAGAACAGGATGCACGAGGGCAGGAAATGGAGGATAGTGTCTAGAAACACAAATAACAGGATGCACGCACGGCAGGAAAGGGAAGTTAGTGTCTAGAAACACAAAGAAGAGTACGTTGCACGCACGGCAGGAAAGGGAAGTTAGTGTCTAGAAACCCAAAGAACAGGATGCACGCACGGCAGGAAAGGGAAGTTAGTGTCTAGAAACACAAAGAACAGGTTGCACGCAGGCAGAAAAAAGAAGATAGTGTCTAAAAAACACAAAGAACAGGACGCAATGCGAGCACGAAGGGCAAAGTTAGTATCTAGGAAAACAAAAAAGAGGTTGCATGGGGGTAGAAAGGGGAAGACAGAGCTGAGAAACAAAAGTACAGGAGTGGAAAAATGAGCATCACAGAAACACTGGCAGGAGGGTCGACCCAGCGAAGCGGTAGCAGCCACGTACGGCCAGACCGCACGTACAGGTCGGGCGTGCACGCGAGCGCATTCTGGAATTACACTTTCCCGGGCGTAGGACATTACGAAATGCAATCAGCTCGGCTTTAATATGCTTTATTAACCGCGCGCCGCTAACCGCATTTGCGGGACCGGCGGAGTTTACGCAATTACGCCCCGCGCCGCGTCGCATCGCGTCGCGCACGCCAGTTCCTAGAATCGGATTCGTAGTTACCATTCGCGGTTGCGCGCGACGGTCTTGCTGGAGTGTAGCAGCAGCGTGACGACGAGAGTGCCGCACGCTATGGATTTCAATCCGCTGAAAACGAGAAAATGAAGCATCTTAGACTTAGCACGTCGCAGTCGAGCTCGCGCGGGCCCCGCGTTTTCCACTCGGCCGACCGGAATGCGCGCCGGCATGTATATTACCGACACTATTATGGCAATCATAAACCAGCATAATCACATCAGCGCACGCCATAGAAATTGAATGTAAATATCTCCGATAATGATAATGGAAAAGCAACTCGCTGTGGAAAAAAAAACCAGGCAGCCACTGGTACGTATGTCGGCGAGCAGCAAGTTCTGCGAGAGCGTGGCGAAGACGCAAGCAGACGCGTGCAGTCGACGCTGCGAAGTTCGCTTCGGGGCGTTGCAGACAACGCGGGGGCTTCACGAAAAACAAAAAAGCGCACGCACAGAGACGAGAAACCAACGCGGGACGACGTACGATAACGGGTTGTTACGCAAAGTTGTGTATCCCCGCCCCACCCCAGCACGACCTACTATATTCCTACTATATACATATTCCTACGACCTACTATATGGCGTACGCACACACTGTCCTACACGCCTGCTATTAGCTATGGCAATGGGCAGCAAAGTTGTGTATCCGTCCCCTGGCACGACCTACTATGGCGTACGCACATACTGTCCTACAAGTTCCCCTTCTCCAAGGCCTACAATCGCGAATACGTCGTCGCCGCAGACAAAACGCGCGCGTTGTCGCGGGACCGCTCTCAGCGAAACTTAAACTCAAAGCATTTACTTAAACTCGTAAACTCAAAATTGATATCGAATTTAAATAAACGCGTTTTCGATCGCGACATCTCTCTCTGCGATGACGACGACTTGGAGAAACCCCGGGGGTAGAGTTGCGGGTGTTGAGGGGTCAGATCGGAAAGAGAACGGTCGAACAAAGTCGAGGGACCACTCTCGCCCAAAACTTAAAACGCATTTAAATTAAACGAACCTCGAAATTAAAATAGAATTAAAATAAACACGTTTTCAATCCCGACACCTCTCTCCACGATGATGATGGGGGGGGGGTGTAGCATCGCGAGTCGAGGGGTCAGGTCAGAAAGAGAACAGCCGAACAAGGTCGAGGGACCAGTCTCACCGAATCTCAAACCACATTTAAACTAAACCCAAAAACTCAAAATTAAATCAACATTAAAATAAACACGTTTTTTAATCCCGACATTTCGCCACGACGATGACGACCCACGGACGACGGGAGGACCGAGGGACCGCGTAGCGTCGTGAGAATCTAATGGTTGTCGTGGAGACTCACCGTTCGGTGGCGACGACCTGCCAGCCGATTGCGAGGAGGATGCAGAATCCCATGCTGGGCATGTAGAGCACGCGCTCGGCAACGACGAAGCCCACCGTGAAGAAGAGGTTGCACGCGGGCAGGAAGGGGAAGATGAGCAATGCCAGCGCCTGTAAACACAAACAACAGGATGCACGCGGGCAGGAAGGGGAAGATGAGCAATGCCAGCGCCTGTAAACACAAACAACAGGATGCACGCGGGCAGGAAGGGGAAGATGAGCAATGCCAGCGCCTGTAAACACAAACAACAGGATGCACGCAGGATGGAAGGGGAAGATGAGCAATGCCAGCGCCTGTAAACACAAACAACAGGTTTCAGGCAGGATGGAAGGGGGGAAGATAAAACAGGAAGGTAGAGATAGTGTCTAAAAACAAAGAAGAGGTTGCACGCAGGCAGAAAATGGTAAGAAAGAGCCTAGAAACACAAACAACCGGTTACACGCAGGCAGGAAGGGGAAGTTAGTATCTAGGAAGTAGGAACACAAAAAAGAGGTTGCATGGGGGTATAAAAAGGAAGACAGAGCTGAGAAACAAAACAAGAGCCGCAGAGCGTCTGGGCTCATCTGAGGTCTGTTGCTACGGTTATAAACGTAACATTTAAGTCGTGCGTAGTGACACCTTTGTTAGGCGCAGATATGCAGATACGCAGTTGCGTACACCTCCTTTCAGCAACCTTCTGCATTCTGCATACCTCCCAAATCCCATTGGTTGATACAAATCGCGTGCCTGAAACTCCTGTTTTATGGTGCATTGTGACCGTAACCCTAACCCTAACCCTATTAAACAAAATTTAATTGTTGTAAAAATTATTTGTTGTTATGAAATTGTTGTAAATAAATAATGTAAATATTTGCCTTAATTGGAAAGAAATAGTTAAATGGATAAAGATAGAAAAATACAGAAAACAGGTAAATATTAAAAAATCTTATGGGATTCGATCCAAGGACCTTTGAGCCATAATCCTGTGCTGTAGCCGTTGGGCTATCCAGGCATATTGGCGTTCCAGATTATGGATGTGCCATGAATATGAGAACACTGTGACATCATTGAGGCAGTTCAGGAATCCATGTTTAACCCTCCTCTGGGGTTATCTGAGACACTTAATCTTCGCACGTCAGTGGTAAGCACATTTCACAGTCCTTTCAATAAAGTGATAAAAATGGTAGGTCAGCGCCAAAACAAAAAAGTTTTTCACTTTGTCCGTTAGCCCATGTCCTCAGAAAATGTCTGATATCTGACCTTTCCCCCACTGCCCTTTGACCTGTGACCTCCAATTTCGCACTGGTGTGGGTTTCCTGCCCATCACACTATACACCGCATATTAAGAGCATAGGTCGAGCCGTTAAGATTTGTGCCGCAATTCCGTATTTCCTCGTCTACCTTAAGTTAAGAGGGAAATATTCCCCCTCCGTCTACACATCTTGACCTTTGACCCTTGACCCCCAAATTTGTCATCCTGAATCCTTTTCACGATCCCCCCCCCCCGACGTCCATAATATTGTGACCGTACGTCGAGCGGTTAAGATTTGTGCCCAACTGTTGACGCACGCACGCACGGACGGACAATCATGCGATTCTACAAGCTGCATCTGACTACGTCAGATGAGCTAAAAACGGGAGCAGGGGTGGGAAGACTAACAGCACAGAAACACTGTCAGAAGGGGTACGAATAGTAGTGCCAACACCTAGCTGCATAAAATGAACATATAATTGCATGTATACTGTCAAAATCCTACCCACATAATGAGTTAATATCAAATATCACGCATTATTGAATGTCGGTCGATAAAGTTCAGTAGCTGGCCTGACTTTGCGCATCAATAATTCTACCTCGTGCGTATCCAGATCCAGAGATGCCAACACGTATTTGAAGCAATCTGTAGTTTCTGGCCATCAAATTAGTAGTTCGAGGGTGACATAGTGACCCGAGTTTGCTAGGGGAGTCCGGCATGCCCCCCGGAAAAATTTTTGATTCTGAGATGCAATTTCCTGCATTCTGGGGGGGGGGGGGCAAAAATGACAATAAATTATCAAAAAAATATCTTTTTTTTCGATCACAGTAAAATTCGTAAGTTTGATAC